TAAAGGAGGATAAAAATTCATACATTAATAAAAAAATCAAGATAATTCATACAAAACAAGAGTCTGGAAATACAAAAAAAAAATACATCCCAATATAAACTATTGGGTATGTCTAATTGTCTGCCTCCTCTGTCGCATGTACTGCACAACATTCTGTAACTCGACAACTATAGTATTCACTAGGACCAACTTGGGAGAACCATCATCAAAGAGTCTTGCTTCTATGGCTCATCTACCCATCTCTGCAACACACCGACATACCGATGTCACGCTCTCTACCTGCTCATCCTGAACCTCAAGTACCTTCAGGTTAATTGGCCTGGGTGGTTCTCCATGAGCTTCTTGCGTCGTGATAGGGTGTGACACTCTATAGAACCATGTCATGTAGACCTCAACACAAGCCCAGTGTTATCAGTTGCCTCTCGGTGATACACCTCTGGTACCTGGTGGCTTGTAAATTATTTTGTAAGTCTCTACGGCAGACGCCGGGAGGAGCGACCTCATAGGAAGGTCTCAAAATGATATGTATATAGCCAAACTGGCGCATCACTCGCTCTAGAAGATAAGGACGCATAAGAGATAACCTACATGCCGACCATCCAGAGTATAAAGAGACGATGGCAAACAACTGTATTTGGCGATAACCCTCGTATAGGCAGAAGTTGGCGTTATCTGGTACCATACGGTCAAGAGAAACTCTGAATGGCTCGACAACACCATTCCCTCTGTGTGGAACAAAAGAAGTTGCATGAGGTCAATCCTTATTGTACTGTGATGTGGCCTCCCACCCAGTGATGCGAGGGAAGTGAGAGATGATCCATCCATGAAAATGTTTTTGGTTACAATATTAATAACATGTATAAGAAATGAATTATGAAAATATTTGTAAGACGGAATTATTGTAAGCAGCGTGCAACACTCTGTATGTGCTTTGTCTTCCAAAGGCAACTCTCACTCAACTTAGAGTACAGGTAGACCAAATAGGCGGCCTCCTAGTTGTACTCGTGAATCGCAGTCAGGTATGTGAAATACTTGAGGTATACCACATCGACATATGTAGCACTTTTGTTCACAAACATAAATGTGTCAATAAAAAACAAGAGGTAACACCTCAATGTGCAATATCGGTGGTACTCAACATGCTCATCATCATCTTTGACATCCTTTTCCCCCTTCACATGATGACTATAAAGCTTTTCTGAAAAGCTAAACTGTGCATGAGCACCTCTAGTGTGAGTTGCCTCCTGCAACGCCTTACTAGGATCAACCCCCAATAATCTGACCATCAGATCGACCCTTTCCTCTCGCCTGATCCTCCCGAGGTCCAGTAATCTCCCCCTGGTAGGAAGATAGGAAGATGCAGTATGCATGATACGTCATCCAAAGTGACGGTCATCTCACCAATAGGTAGGTGGAAAGATTGCGTCTTTGAGTGCTACCTCTATGCAAAAGTTATATGTATGTCATGGTTTATGGTCACATATTTAGATGAACATAAATTGGCAAGACCGGAATAACAGATAACATCTCTGAACCAATGACCAGTGGGTTATGGAAACTGCAATATCTTCCTACCGTGGTTTATCATTTTTAAATAATCACGCTCTTGAAAAAAGAAAACATAATGAGTATGGATTTAATTAGTTGACAACATATGTATATGTATTGCAAAAGAAAAGAAATGTATTTTTCCATTCCATACATGCCTAGCACTATACTCTACATAATTATAAAGTAAGGATGTGTCATATGACCCTATTGAATAACTCTCTAGTGGGACATCCTCTTGGGCTTTCTCTTGGGATTTTTCCTAGGCTTCATGGTCAACACGAGCCTCAAGATCCTCATAGTTTGCTGCATCATATGCCTGAGATGCCTGAGAGAGTCGACTACAGGAATCAGACAGTCGGTGTTGTAAAGAAGACACTACTACGGAAAACACCTTCGCTAACACAATATTACCACGAGCATTAATTTACTGTAGTCATATCACATTTTTTACGCACATGTTTTTCTTATTTTATTAAGAAACTTTTCATCACATATCCTATAAAGAACCTTTGTCATATATTTTAGGTGACATGCTTCGAATCTCAGCCTAAACATTTTTCCATTTTTACAATAAAAATAAGCGTGCGTCCTTTAACTTTTTTTTATTTAAAAATTAAAAGTATTACAACTATGATTGTTATATTCAACCGTGGTAATAAGTTTCATATATCACTATGGTTGACGCTTACAACCGTCGTGGAATTTTTTTCTCATAACATTAAAATGTCGTAGGTACTTTATTCCGTTCATAACACACAGGAGCCCCCTAGCGAACGAGACGATAGTGGTAACTAATATCATTTCTGAAAATGAAATCTTAATCATCCTTTTTGAATATCATTCCTGGAAGCAAAATCTTCACCATCCTCTTTGAATATCATTTCTGGTACGTTACCATTATCTCTCTTTGACGGTTATGAATGTTTAGGGTTTCTTTCATGAATCAATGGCATATGAATGTTCATGCTTTAAGTTTTGGTGTTGGACATGCATATGCTTTAGATTTTGTATTTGAAGCATTAGTATGTCATTCACATTTCCTTTATTTTCATTTTATTGCAACTGTCTTTTGGTCTTATTCAGATTTTGTAGCTTATAACTATAGTGTGTAGTGTGTAGCATAAAACCATAGTGTATATAGTATATAGCATATAACCTTATATTAGTGTGTATGAAAAAGGAGTTCTTGAATTACTTGAAACTAAAAAGTTAAATTTGAACTATGTGTATCATATAACCTTAGATCAGTGGATTACAAAAAGGCCACCAATGATTTTTTATTGATCATATCTAAATCCTTCGGCTGAGATAAAGTTTGACCATTGCCAATCTGCTTCATCATCATCATCAGAATCGATGATGACTAGTCTTTTCACCCTTCTTCTTCTTGATCTCCTCTTCCTGTAAGCTCTCATGGGCCTCATAGATTCGATAGCAGGGTCTCTTGCAGCGACTTGGACCTCTTCTTAGACCCATACAGCAACAACAACAACTTCTATTCTCTCAGCAGCTTCTTGGACCTTTTATGTTCTCTCAGCAGCTTCTTGGACCTCTACAACAACAGAAGTACTCATTTTGATTCTTCCTCTTCTCTGATTTCTTTGGATGAAGTTCTTTTTGTGTTTTGATTCAAAGAGGAACTCCTCTTTTATATTGGTTTGATGATTTTTCCTCTTCCTCTTCTATGATCTTAAAAGTCTAAAAGCCAAAAGATTTCGCGTATGTCAAGTTTGCTCATTCTTGCTTCTTTAATTCTCTACGTTTTCTTCTCTTGGAAGTTGGAAATGTCTCTGTCTTTTCAATTTTCTTTATCTGGAGTTGTTGAATGATTTAATGTAATAATGTGAATGTTGTAGGTTGTTTGATTCCTAATGGAATTGTGTCATTGATGTAATACAAGTTTTGATATTCAATTCACAATTGGAAGTATTGTTGTTTTTGGTATGATACGATTGAGATTTATTCAGAAATAATATTTCACAACAGTTGTTTCTTACAACCGTAGTTATAAGTAACGCACTATCTAATTTATAATAATGATCACACGTCAGTTGTGGTAACCAACATACATACAATCACACGCTACCTAACAACGGACGTGCTACCGTCACTATATGTGTTTCGCAACCGTTATTGTATGTATTTTTCGTAGTAGTGAGTTAAAGCATCAAACAATTCATTAATAACTCATGGCCTCATGGTCCTGGTTGCGGTCATTTCACGTCGTACCAACGCGGTTTGGGGCACACACCTGACCCTAAAAACATGTCCATTACATGTTCCAATTTTTTGACTGACCCGATCCGAAGATGCATCTCTGAAAACAATTCTGAGCAAATTTAGAGATGCGTCTCCGAAAATGTGATTTTGAGCTCTCATGACAAACCAATTTTCAACCCTAATAGACCCAAAAAAAAATCTCATTGCATGTTGTTCTAACCTATCAAAAGCCTAAAACATTTAATGTATCCTAAAAAAACTAACTTAACCAAAACGCAAAAAGAAAATAGAATTTAAAAAACTTACCAAAATATAATTTAACGGTAACTAACTTTGATCTTTTCTTATGATTCAGCACTTAATTATCTTAATCATTGGATAAACTTCTATAAATAACCTCAAACAACTTTCAAATTTGTTACTTTGGTTTATACTCTTTTCTATTTAACTTTCTTTGTCACCGTGACGATTTCTTCCCTATTATTTTCTGGAGAGATTCAATACATCTCAACATGCTCCAAAGAAAAAGGTTATTGCCTCAAATATTCAGTTGGTTAAGGCTACTCCAGAATAATTTCCAAATTAAACTATGTGTCTTCACTAGATTGAACCTCCCAAACACTCCTTTGGATTTGAGATCCATTGGTTTAATGCATAACCGAACCCATGATTGAATACAAAATGGCCTTTATGAAAGAAGAGTAGAAGATTGAGAAATCAGGGTCTCCTCCAAATGATGAAATGCAAATCAAAGAAACTTGGCAAAGAGACAACTTAATACCCAACTTCTTAGGCCCTTATGTATTCTTGTATTATTCGGCTAGATGCTAGATACTACCAAAAAATACACGTAGTAATAACTAAATAATATATGAAGTGGTGAAAAATCCAAATGGTTCTCCATTTTACACTTCATTGAACTTCTTCCACCAAAAACGACCAACCACCCATGTACAATGTTTGTGAAACTTTCACATTCATTTTAGTTTTAACATTGAGATTATATAACCATAACTCGAATATCGTAATCATAACTAACAATGATTTCCTAGATTTACAACCCCTTATGCTCGGTTTGTCCCAATTGAATTAGAAAAAATTATATACACTTGAATAACAAACCAATAATTCATCAATGCACACACTACAAACATCATTTATATAGACTATAACATATCAACACTACAAATTAAAGCTTGCACCAGCGACAACCGCTGTTACTCATTATTTCAGATTTCACCTGTCCCAAGAGGTTGTCTTGAGGTATTTCCAGAGGCCCAGGCTTTATAATCTTTCACAAGCTGTTCAAGAAAAATAACTCGCATAAAATAAATCAAGTTTAATAACTTGCTCAGTATCTAAAATTAGTACAAAATTTCAAGTAGCAAGCAATATATTGTAGAATCATAAACTCTGGCTACTGCTACTGTAGTCACCATGCCAGTATCAGTAGCAGCAATGAAAAACCAAAAGACTGAGAAAATAAAAGTTGAACTCATAGAGCATTTTTACTTTGTTATATAGAAATATATAGATTTATATAACTCTAGAGATATTGTAAGGGACACATTAGAACTAATCAGGTAGAGATTTATATAGTTATTTATAAAACATTCGTACGGTACTGTCAATCGTCCGTACAGTCATTATTCACCACCCGCCGTTGCTTGATAAGGTCATAGAAAGAAAATTTCACAACTTTTTAGAGATCGCTCGAGCCCTCCTCTTTGATATGTCAGTCAGATTCATTGGGGAAGAAGTTGTAACAAATCTTGTTCCTATCATTTTGAATTTGGAGCCCCAAGTCTTTGGGGTGATACTTTTGTCCATGTACATAAACGATATGGACTATGTTGGACACCTGTGTTGTCCAAGTTTGAGACAAAAGACTTTGAGAAAGTCAGTTATTTTTTTAGAATGAACTGCTTATTCAAAACAAGGCATTTCCACGTCTCAAAGGAAGTTTAGATCTTGTGCAGAAAACAAGAAAACTTGGATATAAACCTACATGTTCCCATCAAGAAAAATAATGAGCGCTGACAAGGGTCATTATCAGAGATTAGTGAGAAAGTTTATTGATTCAACACTCACTAGACCGGACTTAGTATATGCAGTCAGTTCATGCATTATCCAAGGACGAGACACTTGGAAGTTGTAAATCGTGTTGTGCAACATTTCAAAGTCTCTCCAAAAAGAGGACTCTAGTTCAAAAGAGGCGGAAGCTTGGCTTATACTAATATAAATTATACAAGCTCACTGAATGATAGAAGTTCCACTTTAGCTAATGTACTCTAAGTGGGGATTTTGTTGCTTGGAGGAGTAAGAAGCAAAGTACAGTCTCTCAATCAAATGTTGATGTAGAGTTTAGAGCTACGACATAGAGAATATCTAACATATGAAAGTACTATAAAGTTATTGTGACAATAAATCAAATACTTATATTGCTTATAGTCTTGTTCAACATTGACATGACGAAACATAATGAGGTAGAACGAGCTTTATCAAGGAAAATGGGATAGCAGATTGATAACAATTGCATAAATACCTTATGGGAAAGCAATGTGTTAACACAGACAGAATAAATTAGACATCTTACTGGCAAACTATGAATAATAAATATCCACTCACCAGCTTGAAGGTGAGTAGTATTGTAAATACGTATTATTATTAGATCTATTATTTAGACCCATAAGTTAGAGCTTGTCAATATATTTCCATTAATGCTTGTACTCTTAACACAATAATATTCAGAACACTTTTTTTCCACAACATGTGAACCATACTAACAAACCAATGCAAAGTTGTATTGATGCCTGTCAAAACTTCAATTTTTACACAGTTTGTTAAGTGCCAATTAATAGCTTCTTCCAAATTTATGGCATGACTCCCTATCATCACACCCTCTGGCAAGAAGCAACTAGCAATCTAAGAAACAACTAGCATCGTGAATATCATAGTAACTGTTAAGAATTTGTTATCAATCAATTAGTATTGATTGATATTCAATTCGTAATTAGTGTAATTGATATTGTTTCCTATTGCATATTTCCTATTTGCATATAAATATACACCATGTGTGATCATATTCGACACACAGAGATACAATTACAACATGGTATCTAGAGCTGGTTGACCTACTATCTTCCACACAAAAAAATTCTTTTTTTTCCTGCTGCCACCGTCTCCGCCGCTTGTGTAGACTTTCCGGCGAGATTCCTATACCGCCAGAGTCGTCTCCTCCAGATCGGCCGGATTCCAAAAACGTCACTGCCTTCCGCCGCCGCACGCGCCGCTTCTTCATTTGTGCGTGAATCTCATGCGCCAGACTTCCAGCCGTGCATCCGCCGCCCCCCGCCGCCGCTGTTTTTCTTGCCTATCTCGGTTTTTGCTCCTCTTTCCAGATCTTCTCTCGGTTTTTCGCTCCGAACCATCAAATATCATGGGAGATACCAATTCCGTCACGTTCACTAAAGTTCCACTTATTCCGTGTGAGAAACTGACCGGAACAACCAACTACAACATATGGGCTGGTGCTGTCAAGATGTGGTTTCACGGTCAGGGATATGAGGATCAATTTACTACAAAAGCCGATACTATTCTCGCTGTCAAACGCGATAAGTGGAAACAAACTAATGCTTCTCTATGCACTATGTTATGGTTTTCCATAGCAACTAATCTCCAAGCACAGTACCAAACCTATACCACTTGCTACGAGGTTTGGGAAAAGACTAAGAAAGTCTTCTCAAATGATGTCCATAATCTTTACAATGTCATCACCAAACTCCGCTCTTTGAAATTGGAGAATATGGATATGCAAGGCTATCTGACTAAGCTTGATGCGTTAAAGGCAAATTTCACAACCTTAATGCCCTTTACAAAAGATGCAACAACTTATGATGAACAACAAAGTATTTCATGGTCATGGCACTTGCTGGATTGCCATCTGAACTTAATTCCGTTCGGAATCATATTTTATCAGGAACCAACGTTCCTAACTATGAAACAGTTAGTGAACAACTGTTACGCTTGGCTACCCCTCAAGTATTTGGACCGGTTCCTACTTCCTCTCCCACTGAATCATCTGCTCTCGCTTCCTACTATCATGGTCGTGGTGGACAAACCGGAGGACGGGGTGGACGTCAAAGTATTCGTTGTAACTATTGCAATCGTTACGGTCACATTGAAGCTGATTGTCGTACAAAGGCAAGAGAACAACAACGATAACCACAGATCGCTGTTGTCGCTCAACCGGATATCTCTAAAGATGTCATTATTCCCGCCGCTGATTACAATGATTTCCTTCAATACAAAGCAGCCCATCAACAATCATCATTTGTCGTTGTTGCTCAGTCGGGTAATCCTGTAGCCTTTGTCTCTACATCTTCTCTTGGTCCTTGGGTCCTTGACTCCGGTGCCTCTGATTATATGACTGGTAATAAATCTCTTTCATCTCACTTGTCTTATTCTGATTCTTTGCCTTCTGTCACTGTAGCGGATGGTTCTAAAATCAAAGTTCATGGCCTTGGTCAGGCACATCCACTTCCAAACTTGTCTTTAGAGTTTGTCCTTTACACTCCTAGTTGTCCCTTTAATCTAATATTTGTTCACAAGCTTATTCGTACTCTTGACTGTTCAGTCCTTTTTAATGATAATTCTGTTTATATCCAAGATCGACGTACAGGACGGACGATTGGAGCAAGGAGTGAAGTTGGAGGATTATATCATCTTTCTCCACCAGTGGCATGTGCTTCTATTGCCTCTCTAAAACTCATACATCAACGTTTGGGTGACCCTAGTCTTATGAGTGTCAGTCCTGTCAATTAGTCTTTTGAGTGTCAGTCCTGTCAATTAGTCTTTTAATTGCAAGTGCACAGTCTATTCTTAATGTGGGCTTTTTTCCACCCCAGCTGGTTAAACAAGTACAGAATACTATCCAATATACCTAAAGCATTCATAGTGGGTTCATCATAATAAAGTGTCATACTAATGTTTCTTTTTCATAATTCCTCGAATTTTCTCTTTTGGTTTCTACCCCTAAAGGTGGTTTCCAAGAAATTATGTGGTTTTGGTTCCATGGTTAGTGTTAGTCAGGGAAACAAGTCAGGAGAGAAGGTAGAAGAGAAACAAAAACTTTTCAGAAATCCTGTGGCAATTAAAATTATTTTGAAATCAGCAGCAGTTTTATGAAAATTATAACAAAAGAAAGAAAATAAAAAATAAAACTTAAATAGGAATAAATGCAAAAACGAAAAGTATAATAAATAAATAAATAGAGACAAATAACAATTAACAAATAAGTGGGTTGCCTCCCACTAAGCGCTGTTTTTAACGTCAAAAGCCTGACATAGTGCCTAGCAGCAGATTATTCGGGTGAAATATTGGGCAATTCTAAAAGTTTTAGACTATTCGTATAGTCTCTATTTTCAATGTTATTGTATTGTTTTAACCGCTGCCCGTTTACTGTAAACGGGTCAGTATTTCTACCCTTAATTTCTATTGCTCCGCTAGGGAACACTTTTGTAATTTCATACGGACCTGACCATCTAGATTTTAATTTACCAGGGAAGAGCCTAAGTCTTGAGTTAAATAATAGTCCGACATCTCCCACACTAAATTTTTTCCTAGATAAACGCTTATCATGCCATTTTTTAGTTCTCTCTTTGTATATTTTAGCATTCTCATCTAATCTTAATTCTTCTAATTCATTTAAATCCAGGACTCGTTTTTCTCCCGCAGCAGTGTAGTTCATGTTGAGCGTTTTAATTGCCCAATACGCTTTGTGTTCTAATTCTACTGGGAGGTGACAGGATTTTCCGTATACGAGCTTGAAGGGTAGTTCCTATAGGGGTCTTGTAGGCCGTCCTATAGGCCCATAAAGCTTCGTTGAGCTTTGATGACCAATCTTTCCTGGATGTGGCTACAGTTTTTTCTAAGATCTGCTTAATTTCTCTGTTTGAGACTTCGACTTGTCCACTGGTTTGTGGGTGGTATGGTGTCGCTATACGATGTTTCACTCCATACTTAAATAGTAATTTGTCGAATATCTTTGAGATGAAATGGGAGCCACCGTCACTAATGACGAGTCTCGGTACACCGAATCTTGGAAAGATTATGTTTCTAAAGAGTTTGATTACCACTCGTGTGTCATTTGTAGGAGAGGCTATGGCCTCGATCCATTTTGAAACATAATCGACCGCGACGAGTATATATTTGTTTCCAAAAGAAGATGGGAAGGGTCCCATGAAATCAATTCCCTATACGTCGAAGATTTCTACCTCTAGGATTCCTCTTTGAGGCATTTCATCGCGTCTTGAAATATTACCGGTGCGTTGACACCGATCGCAATTTCTAACAGCGATGTGGACATCTTTCCATAGATTAGGCCAGAATAGGCCGGCTTGTAAGATCTTTGCACAAGTTTTGGAAGTGCTTGCGTGTCACCCGTAAGGAGATGAATGACAGTGGGAAATGACATCTTCTATCTCTTCTTCGTGTATGCATCGACGGAAGATTCCGTCTGGTCCTCTTTTAAACAGTAAGGGTTCGTCCCAATAGTAGTATTTGAGATCGTGGAAGAATTTCTTTTTCTGTTGGTAGGTAAGGTCTGGTGGGAGCGCGTTTGCAGCTAGATAGTTAACTATGTCGGCATACCATGGCAGTCCCATGGTTGCATGGATTGCTTTTACGGCTTCCGGTTCTGGTTCGTTTAGGTTTAACTGAGCCAGGTCGCTCCTTATTTGGGTTATCAGTTGTTCATATGGAAAATCGTCGTTAATCGGCACTTGTTCGGGTTTTACATCTTCCAATCTTGACAAGTGATCCGCTACGACGTTTTCGGTCCCTTTTTTATCCTTAATCTCTAAGTCAAATTCTTGCAAAAGTATGATCCATCTGAGGAGCCTTGGTTTTGCATCTTTCTTATTTAATAGATATCTTATAGCAGCGTGGTCCGTGTAGATGATGATTTTCGCTCCTACTAGATAGGAACGAAATTTGTCAAGCGCGAAGACGACTGCTAACAGCTCTTTCTCAGTCGTGGCGTAGTTCATTTGGGTTGAGTCTAGCGTTCTACTAGCGTAGTAAATGGCGTGTAGTTTCTTGTCCTTCCTTTGTCCAAGAACTGCGCCTACGGCGTAATCACTCGTGTCGCACATGATTTCGAAGGGTAAATTCCAATCGGGTGGTTGCATGATTGGTGCGGTGATAAGGGCTGATTTTAGAGTTTCAAACGCTTTATGACAATCATCGTCGAATACGAACTCAGCGTCTTTCATTAACAGACTGGTAAGTGGTTTAGTAATTTTTGAGAAATCTTTAATGAATCGCCAGTAAAAACCGGCGTGTCCTAAAAAGCTTCGTATTTCTCTAACGGTCTTAGGTGGTCGAAGTTCTTTTATGACTTCTATTTTGGCTTTGTCAAATTCAATCCCTTTATTGGATATGACATGTCCTAGTACGATTCCTTCTCTGACCATGAAATGGCATTTTTCCCAATTGAGCACGAGGTTTACTTTTACACATCTTTCTAAGACTTTCTCTAGGTTTGATAGGCATCCTTCGAAACTTTCCCCGCACACTGAGAAATCATCCATGAACACTTCCATGATGTTGTCTATAAAATCTGCAAAGATTGACATCATACATCGTCAGAAGGTCGCTGGGGCATTACATCGTTAGAATTTCCCTTACATTCATAATTTGAAGCATATAATGGTTTCTTTGTTAGCTAGTAAGAATATAGTGTTAAAATTGTAAGTCATAGCGTCGAAATTATGTGTGTCGAAGGGTTAGAGATTGTCGAAACAGTTTGCTCAACAGATTAGATTTATTTTAGATTTAGATAGATTTGATTTAGATCTAAAATAGAATAGATTTGATTTAGTTCCAAAATAGGTATTTTGGGCTTTTATAGTTTTGGGTTTTGACTTAGGGAGCAAGCTAACCTAAAATTATAAATAGATGGAGTAACCTCTATTTTTTGTAATCAAGTCAATTCATTGTATTCACAGAATTTGCAGTTACAAGTGAATAATAAAGTTTTCCACAGTTTGTAGGCAGAGAGAAACTCTACAGAAAATAATTGTTTTGTTTCTTTTCTTTTCTTTTCTTTTCTCTTAATTCATTGTCATTGTGTGGTGATATCAATCTTGTTTATCAAAATTAGTAGAAATTCATCATAGATATTTGGTGGATTTCTAACCTATAGAACAATAAAATGTACTTGTAAGAAACCACGTGTAGTAACATAGATCATAAGTTCATAACAAGCTAGTAAGAATATAGAACAATAGAGTGTCCTAGTAAGAAGCCTCGTGTAGTAACATAGACCATAAGTTCCATAACAATAAATAATGGTTCCATATGATAAGGGTGGGGATTCTAGTAATATTATGATTGGTTTTCCATATTTGATTAAGATATGGGGTCTTGAATATAAATAAGGGTTAATTCTTAGTCTGTTTTATTAAATCATTATATCAAACTATAATAATAATTCACTGTTTTTATTAATTTTGATGATTTCTTTCTTGTCTAAAATCATATAATTTAAAATTCATGGTAATTAACAAGCAAATTAATTTTCTGAGCTACTTTGTACATCTTATCTTACTATGTATCCTCTTGTATTGTGATTCTTTTATTGCATACTACCATTGAGGTGTGATAGGTACCAGAATCTCTACTCAAGAAATATAGAGTGCAACTCTTAACAACATGTGATTAAGCTAAAAAAAAACATAAGAAAAGAAAGAAGAAGAAACTGACACACTTGGAGGGTCTGCAACCTCCCTAGCCAAATGGCTCCAAACATATACTCAATAAATTGCATATTCTTCTTTCTTACCTCCCAGTATATATAACCCTCACACATTCCCATTCTAACTAACCATCCACTTGGCCAGTTTGTTACAAATTTCATCCCATCCTCTCACAGTTTATTAAAGTGATTTTGCAGAAAGATACATGGAATAAAATATTGCAGCAGGTAAGGATTATTCTCAGAGTTGAAGTTATGTAAATTAGGTTAAGAAAGTCAGCATACTGATGATTCCCTTCCCTATAAACAGTCAAATTTTATTCCCTCCCCCCAGAGGACGACAGAAATAGCACAGTCAAATTTTGTTGTTCTTCCCGGGATAATGAGTATTGATATCTAATTACGGATGAGGATATGACTCTATTTTTGAGATAGGATACCTTAGCTGAAGACAAACTTAGATTTATGTAGGATAAACAGTTTTGGCTATTGAGTCTATGTTAGAACTTAAGTCCACAATCCAAAAGACTAGTCAATTAGGTGAGAGAGCCTCATAGCTTAAGTACCTGTACTTATAGTGAATACAATAGAGGTCACCTGCTTGAGCTAAGATACGCAAGAGGGATTTAGAAGTACTGGTTCCTCCCTGTGGCAGTCTTCCTTTGCCTATTATTTCGGCCGTATGATTCAAGCCTTGACCAAATAGTGAGAGTAGTGGATGAGCCATCCCTTTAATATAGAAGGCATGGTTAGTCAGTCAACTTCAGTTAACTTTGATCAGGAAAGTCCTCTCAGTTGTTGGAACATGCTTGGTAAGTCACCCCCTATAAAGTAGGGGGCATGGATGACTCGCCCACGTCTGACATGTCATCGACCTTATGAGATGTTGGGCTAATGGGTTGAATCCTTTGACACTTGTTAGGCATGAGTTATAACATAACAGTCCACAGTCCCTCAAGCACAAAATATGTAAGGACGAAGGGGTTAAGTAAGAGACATGACAGTCCACAGTTCTTCAAGCACAAGGCCTGTAAGAGCGAAGTAGTTAAACAAGTGACATGACAGTCCACAGTCCATCAAACACGCGGCTTGTAAGGGTAGAATGCTCAATAAGTCGTATATGGGAGATTTCCCAACTATATAAAATACTTCATTTATTGTAAATCCTAACGGTCTATGCATAAGCACAATTATATACACCGGTATTAAGTACTTCATTTATTTTCATTTTTAGAGTAATCGTGTTTAACTACTTAAAATACAATTCCTTTGTATGGTGAGTTTCTAATGCAACCTTGCATAACTTTTAGTTAATTTCCAGAAAGTACTATTAGAGTTTTAACTCCTATCATATTGCTACCAAAATCATTTCATATTGCTAATAAATCTACAAGTATTCTGAATTGTCAAATTATTTAACTTCAACTCAATTTTTTTTATACTTGTAACTTCACGGTTCACAGACCCTCGAGTGAGTAAATGCTCAAAGTTTTATACTTATTCTGGTTTCCTTTAACACATGTGATAATTTATCAATCTTTTGTACTCGGGAAATTTGTAGGGTATTTTGTTGTGTCCTTGAGGCCTGGACACATTTATGCTAATTCGATTTTGTTGGAATTTCCACCTTAATTGCGGTCCGCCCCTAGTCGCCTTAGTTGCGGCACTTTGGCTTGCCTTCATTGCAGTCCTTAACACCTTCATTGTGTTAGCTTTGAAGGGGCGGATTTAGTTCCACATTGCTTAGAGATATGGTTTGTGTTGTGTTTATAAGTGGGGGCAATCATCACCCTACAAGTCGGTTTTGTAGGGATGAGTTAGGCCAAACCCAAATTCTGAGAGATTTCATGGCTATGGTTGAGTTAAGATGCAACAGTGCAATTGCAACCTGTTACACTCTGGTGCATTTGGTTAGAGCATAAGTTGCTTATGAAGCAAAAGTTGATTTGAGATAAGATTAGCTTGTTTGGATTGACTTATTTGAACTTATCTACTAACATAAGTTTTGTGACTGTGTTTGAGAGACCTTATCAAAACAGTTTATGACAATTTTTTATAAACTTTTTTTTATCTTATTTTTATATGTACTCCAATGTTTCTTTTGAAACTAACTTAAACAATACATAAAACTTATGCAAGCTCATCCATAAGCGCTTATTTTAATAGGCACTTATGCTATAAGCTGTTTATCCAAACAGGTCCTAGGTATCTCACTTTTGGATTCAATTTGGGTTAAAGTACATGTTTTTTTAAATGGGTTTCTAGCAGATATGGATTGGGTGGGCGGCTCTGATTATTTTGGTAAGTATGTTTTTCTCTAATGTTAAGGAGCTATGTTCTTTGTCAAAGTGAATTTCTTCTTTAATCCAAAAATAGAAACACATCCTAAAATCACAGTTGAAAATAATATATAAAGCTTCAACAAACCTGTGACATAAAACGGGGAAGCATAATCTTGAGTATCTGTTCAAGGACTTGAGTCCCAGCAGACTCAATTGCTTGCTTTGGTATTGCTTTGAACGCGAAAGGAATATCAATGCTTACCTGAATTCAACATAGCAATGCAAAGAAAGTTTAAACCGAACCGCCACAAATTAAAAATCACAAGAAAACAACAGGAAACTTAAGTACTACTACAAACACCTCAATTACAGTGTCTGATGCGAGTTGCTGCACCAGTGACTCATTTGAGTCGCTCTCACACGATATCCGGTTCACCATTATAGCTACATTACCATTAGTTCATTACCATATTAAAGTACTGAAAAGGAATTCCTGAAATTGTATCATAACAGTTAGCAAGGAAACAAACAATCCTCACCGTCAAACTTATCGTTCTGCGCGGCGACCATGGGCGAGCCCTCGAGCTGTAAATCAAGAAATGATAAGAAAAGGGAAACAAATAAATAAATGTTAAAAAAATAAAATAAAATAAAAAAGTGAAATAAGGAAATGCGAGTGAGAGTGACCTTGCAGGATAAGAGCTTAATGCAACAGCCATGAGGTTGCTGTTCAACCTTGACGAGCAAAACGGGACAAACCTCAAAAGTGAAAAACTTAATTGTGTAAACATAACACCTGAATGTATCCTCGCTCACACGCACAATCCTCTCCGCGTCCAACACTGAATATTGACTCGCCGGCAACTTCATGTATTCAACTGTACACACAAAACAAATCAAATTATTACTATATCTATCTATTTTTTTTGTCAAGTAGCATAATGACTTGAATTTCACATGTATCAGGTTCAAAACCGTGGACATATATCTGATGTCTATGTACAACTATCAACTCAGCTGACTTAACGGTACTCAGTAAATGTACTGAAAATCAATTACGTTACTTACTAAGGGGACGTTGGAGTTGTTGAACCGAGATGGACTCCTTACGGCGAGCAACAAAGCGGGCTTTCTGGGAGGGAGGAAGAGGAGTTGCGGAAGCACGAAGCGGTTGAAAACAGGAAATGGGAGGAATGGTACAGGAAGCCATCCGATTCCGAAGTGTCGTGGGAAGGAATGGATAGCGAGCCCGTCTCTTGTGGATGTGGTCAGTCTGGTCATGCACACGTCACTCCTAACTTGTTTAAAACAATGTTGAAAATTGAAAGTGAGATTTTTATGAGTTTTTTTTCAAATGAGATAGTTATGGTAAGTATTTTTTGCAAATGTGATAGTTAGGTAAGAAAATATATTATCTTTAATTTATTTTATAATTTTTTATATGAAATTCTAATAATTTTTATGTAATTAGAAATTATTTATTTTGTAAAAATTAATTCACTAACAATTAATCAATATACATGTTCAATATAATATATTATAGTATATATTTTAATGCAGAACATAATAAATAAATAAATAAATAAATTTATATATAATTATATACCTACGACGTGTTAGTCTATGAGAGATGAGATTATAGAAATACTTGAATCCATTGAATAAAAATCTCTTAGTGGTAATGCTGAAATACAAAAGTGTAGATTGACATTTGTTAGTGTGTGTGGATCTTCTTCAACGGATACTCATAATACTTTGAATCAGTGTTTTAAAAATTGGACAAACTTGGTCGTTCGAATTGGTCAGACCGAGAACCGGAGGGATCATCAATTTGATCTCATTGTTGGACTGAATATGTTATTGAACCGATATGAATCGGTCAGAATCGGTTAAAACCAAAAAAAAACCTTTTGTCACTATCTATGTTTTTGCAAGGTGAAGTGACTCTATTTGATCCTAGATCTTGATGTCTTGATCGAGTTTTGTAAAGATAATTCAGTTCAGTTGGAGGAGTTTCTTTAAGAGGGGGGGTGATTGGGAGTTAAGGAAGATAAGTTTTCTTCCAAGCTAATTAGCAAAGAAAAAACTCAAAGTGACAAAAGGTTGTTTTTATCAAAATGGTAAGCTGAGTCAAGGATGTCATAAAATTATGTTGGGCATTCAGCTTACTCATGCTAAAATGTATTTACTTGCATTGAAGAATCTCTTCTGTGTAGAGTTGATTTTAATAGTTTTTTGGTTATTTTCTCAAAGGTCAAGTTCAATATTGTTTAACCAAGCAGTGGTTAATACTCAGGGAAGGTAAATATTACCTTTTCTCTCATGCCTTTGTTAGGTCTGAAGGTAGAGAAAACACAATAAAGGGGGGGTTTGAATTGGGTTTATAAAAAACATTCCCCTTTATAAATTCTGAGTACTCAAATGATAAAGCGATAAAGACAATGAAGAATAAAAGACACAAGGATTTATCCAGGTTCACCTTAAACAAGGTTAATCCTGTTCACTCCCTCAAGGATGATTTCACCTTCAACAAGGACTTAATCCACTATAACCAAATTGATTACAATTGCACAGGCAACGATCGGTGACTAACACACAATGACACATTCATGGATCCCACAGGATATAACGTTTATTGACCCAATAGAATCACATGCCTCAAGATCATCTAATCGGATTTCCTACAATTACCAACAACCATTGTCTTCTTGAGATCAGGCCTTCACTCAGTCTCTTAAGGAACATTCAATGATATGTTCAGTGATTCAATTTAATGAATATAACAATCATTGACTCAACAGAATCAAATCCCTCAAGATCATCTATTAGGATTTCCTACAACAACCAGCAGCCATTGTCTTCTTGAGATCAGACCTTCACATAGTCTCTCAAGGAACCTTCAATGATATGTACAATAATCTGATTTAATGAATATAACAATCATTGACCCAACAGAATCAGATCCCTTAAGATCATCTATTAGGATTTCCTACAATGACCAGCAATTATTGTCTTCTTGAGATCATATCTTCACTCAGTCTCTCAAGGAACCTTCAATGATATGTTTAGTAATCTGATTTAACGAATGTAACAATCATTGACCCAACAGAATCAAATCCCTCAAGATCATCTATTAGGATTTCCTATAATGACCAGGAGCCATTGTCTTCTTGAGATTAAACCTTCACTTAGTCTCTCAAGGAACTAATCAACAACAGTTGATGAAGTTCTTGTGTTTACATGATTGTTTCTTCTAAGAAGATTACCCAAGTGTTTTAAGCATATATTGTTTAACATATTTTCGAGCAAAAACTCTAGTGTTAAAACAATTTACATGAAGAGATTTAAACTGTAACACAATACGAGCAAGAACTCTTGTGTTCATTACAATGTTTTATCAAGATGTATATGATTAGAAGTTGAGTAGCATCTTGTAGTGTTCTTCTTCTTCATCTTCTTGTTGAGCAAGTTACGAGCAGCAACTCCTTGCTTCTTCTGAGATCTACCAAGATGTATTTGATTAGAAGTTTGATAAGATCTTGTAGTCTTCTTCTTTATCTTTCTTTCTTTTCTCTCATTTTTGTATAGTGGTCTTCAGAATGTTTAGCATTACAGCTTTGACATCTTCAGCATCCACAATGTTTAAGCTTGATGGTAAACAGTGGTAGTGGCGGATGCTACGGCGAAGACGAAACTAGGCTTTGAATCTTTGATCTTCTTTTACAGCCTTCAGAGAGAGGCATTGTGAGGATAAAGAAGTCTTTTCCTACACCAACGGTTAGTTCCAACAGATAGAATAAGGTGTAAGAGTTAGACAGTATAAAATACTAGTTTTTGTATCATGTCATTGTTCAATGATAGCTTTCCACCTTTTCCTTGTATAATGTTTTTATAACAATCTTGTAAATAGAGATATGTTGAGTAAAGAAAGATAGTTGGCAATCCAATTGTTTGTTCCCAACACTCACAATAAGAGCGGTTGACAATACAATACTAAAGGATTATCCTTACGCCACCCTAGAGGGTGAAGGTCACATACACTTTTATGCACCTTTTGTACACCATCACACGTTAACCATTTTGAACTTCTTCTTATCTTTAAAGGCTTCAGATGATTTAAATGTTGAAGCTTGTTGCAGAAGAATCACTCTTAAGTCTTAGAACCTAAGTCTTGGAGTCTTAAGAACTTGTCCTATTAGAACCTTGTCTTTAGAGTCTTCACCACTTGGTTGTAAGAACTTGCTTGTCTTTAGATCATCAGAACTTGTTTAGCAAAACCTCGTCTTCATAATCTTCAGAACTTGTAACACACAGAAGTAAAGCTTTAGAAGGCCTCCAAAGCTTAACCATAAAGTCATGATCAGAACCTCTTGTACTAATGTTACTAAGACACGTTGCAGAAGATGTATTTAGAATCTTGACTTCAACTGTAACACGTAACCACATGTTTTCTTCCAGTAGTGTATGTTCAGAACCTGATGACGTCACGCGCCTTGATACTAGAGTCAGAACATTATAGTAGCAGCTACACACTATAACAAACCATTAGAGTATATAATTGTTCTTAAAGATAACATGTGATCTTACCGGATCAGACTTGGACCGTCACGACTGACTCGAGCAGAATTTGAGTGAGATGGGGGGGGGGGGTACCTGCAAGACACTCCGATGCTAAAATGAGTGATGGAATGAGCAGGAAAAAAATGTATAGGTACGTAATAGATGAATACCCGGCCCTCTAGGAACAGAGGGTATTTATATCCCCCAGCGCTGGGCCAAGGTCCCCTCATTGGGCTGACCAGAACTGGCTCAATAAAGGAACTTCCAGGTTCTACGTGCGTAGTGGGGCCCCGCACGTGGTCCCCTTCCTGGTGATGCTCTGCGAAGAATGAGGAGGGACGAAGACGCGGTCTTTCCGGAGTTTAGATGATTCGATAACGGTCAGAGAGGACAGAATCTGCCTACGGGGAGAGTGCTCGAGCAGGACTCGAGCTGGAGTTCCCTTGGTCGGGGAAACTATGTGTCGCGGGCAATGGCGGGCATGGCTACAGTCTATGGTCGGGCACGTCGGCGGTGATCCGCGGGTGCATATTCCTCGAGGAGTTTGCTTAGATTGGGCCTTTATCTGCGCTTTGGGCCAGGGTGGGCCCAGTCCAGAACAACATGTAAAGTTATCATCAAAATCTTAAGGCCAGATGTAGAACACTTCTTGTTCTTATAATCTCCTCCTTTTTGATGATGAAAAAACCATGTATTTTGATAGAACAGTTTATACAGGGTAATCACCGTAACCAACAAATTCAGAGTTAAGCTCACAGCTCCCCCTGAATTTGTTATTCCAAAATTTCATTTAAGCTTGTTCAGAGTCTCCCCCTGAGCCCAAGACTCACAAAATAAATTTTGAGTTATTAGAACATATAAAAATAGAAGTGACACTTCCCTACAATCAACTCATTAGAGTCTGACTAAAATACATGGTCTTCATCTCAGAAACTGGTAACTATCAGCACTTGATGAAGAATCAAAACTTGATTTTAAGCCTGATTGAATAGTGCCACGCATCATTTCTCAGTGCTTCTTGTGATACGGTGGGAAAACTGACTTGAAGTTTTGCGTTTGTTTTCGCAAATGTTTCGGTTTAGCAAGAGTCGCCACCGACTTTTTATTTTATCCTAAGGAAAGGTTAAAAAGCACAGCAAAAACCTTTGAGATGCTTTCTTGGGTTCGGGGGGTAGATTATAGAAAGGGAAGGTATTAGCACCCTTTCTATCCATGGTTATCCATGGTCTCTTAGTTAATTGCTTAGATCACTTGCCTTGCATTTTCAATTGTTTGAAATGGTGCTTTCAATTGTTTGAAATGGTGCTTTGTGGGTTTGAAAATGTTTTAAAAAGAGGCCAATGTTGTGGCAACCTTTGTAATGATTCATGTTTGAATGTATACAAAGGTGTATTTGTCTTTTGAAAAGTTTTCAATTTTTTTGAAAGTTGTTTTGAAAGTGTGTTGTGATGTGTGTTTTGAAAAATAGGCAAGTGTGTTTTGCAAGTTTGTCAAGTAACTAAGAGTTGTCTACCCATAAATTTACTCAAAGATTTTTCCTATGTTTTAACCCTTTTAACAATTTTGTTCCATCATTGTATTTGGTGGACAATCTTGTGTTAGGATGTTAACGGGACGGGCGCGGGTCATCGTTTAGACCATGGTTACAAT